AGAACTAGAAAGGCCGAGGCTCACCACCCATTTATCCCTCCGCCTTTCAACCAGCACCACATGTGATTATTGGCCAGGCTGGCACAATTAACTAACTCAACGCCAGAGCTGACGATTATCTTTATCCCGCTTCTACATAATCCCATCAATAGTATCATATTTCTCACTAGCAGAGAAAAATGTGGCACTTCTATTAGAAAGATCTTCACGACTTAGATATCTTTCTATCCTAAGCCTACCCTTATATTGTGCCTCAGATCATGCCAAAACATTCTCTTGTGCCATTCACATTTTATGTGGGTCAGTACAAGAATTCAGAATATCTTTTTGTGTGATTCACAGACTTGGCTGTTCATTTCTAGGTTACCATCAAGGGGATAGCTGAAGTCTCTTTATTAAAATTAGTCTGCAATATATGAATACTCTTATAGTGTAGTATGAATTCTATTATATTAGGTCTTTGGCTCTTGCTGATATTTTAAATGTAAAGTATGACAAAGTATGCAGGAGAGATTAGGTCAAGGAATCTTCTTTTCCTAAAAGAATATTTTAAGAGACAAAATTACTCCTCTCTCCAGTGTTTCAAGTGTTCATTTAGGAATTATCCATCTCTCTCTTTTAACAGTGGTGTTATTCAGCACGACTTGATTTTCTCCCTTCAACAAACAGAATGTGTCCTCAAACCTGTTGAGTCTTCAGATATGAAAATAAGTCAGCTGTTCACCAAAGTTGAATCAGAAGATACAAGTAGTCTATTTGACAAGCTTAAGAAGGAACCTGATGCTTTAACTCTGCTAGCTCCAGCTGCTGGAGACACAATCATATCTTTAGATTTTGGCAGCGATGGTGAGTATTTAGTCTTTCTGTTACTCGATTAAACCTCTTGTCTGCTGTTGCAAGCACCATTTTAGCTGAACTTCAACATTTTTTGTTGACAGCCATTTAGACATTATGGTCTTATAGATACTTTCATAACAAAGTATTTACTTTTGTCAAATCTTAGACATTGTTTCTTCAAAGTGTCTAAGGTATTTCTTTTCCCATTTAAATTCTTCCCAGTTCTGTTACTTCCACAATCTGATACCATATTTTCTCTACAACTTAGCAGCTTTTTAGTGTAATTCACAGTGCAACTCAACTGCTAATCAGAAGGTTGACAGTTTAAACCCAACAACTGTTCCATGGGAGAAAGAAGTGGCAGTCTGCTTCTATAAGGATTTAAATCTTGGAAAACCTGTGAGACAGTTCTACTCTGTTATCGACTGTGACTTACAATTGAAGGCAGTCGGGGTTTGGGGGGCCGGGTTTCGTTATAGTATAACAGATATTGTTGCATTAAAGAATAAACAAGCAGAGTCCTATATGCCATCGAACTTTTAAAATTAAAACTAGTTTCAAAGCAGCGTACGTGTTAATATTTACATATGAAAATGTCAGAATTTCATGTCTCCTATGTCATTTAGTAATTTTTACTAGTGCTGTTACAGCAGTTCCTATTCATGACATTCTTATCTGCCGAGTAGTAAATAAGTAGTAGTTTGTTTGTTTTTTAAAGAAACAATGCCTTATTTTATTTTAATGAATTCTGTGATTTTAAAAGGCTGATTTGATCCTCTTACAGAGGAGAGGTAAAGCTGTCCCAGTTATCAAAAAACTCAAATCTTTTCTTGGGTGGACTGGCTGTGGGCGTGCTCTGGTCCCCGGGTTCTCCCATGACTTGGACCTGCGGGAGGCACTTCCTGGGTCAAAGGTCTCCAGTGCCTCCAGGAGCTCCAAATCGCTTCCGTTGTCCTCGAAGAACTTCTGGACCAGGTCGTCGTGGATCGTCCACTGCATGGGGTCCTTGTAGAAGTAATCGGTGGTTTCTGCTATGTCAGAGAAACTGGTCTTGACAGGCCGGCCAGCCTCGGAATGTTGATCTTCTCCTGTATCAGGGTCCAAAGGTAGTCATCCTCCGTGCCTTTGGCCATGAGATAGTAAATGCCCACTGGGCCTCTAGAGTTTCCATGCCTGGATTTTGGAATTCAGTTGCGAGGTCTCTGTTCTGAAGCATCTTTCAGTGGGCTCAAACCTCTTCAACCTTTCACTAACAATGTTAACCATTTACACCACCTCTGGACTCCACACAGACTAATATGAGTTGCCAGTTGTGCATTGGAAAGATAACTCAATTATGGTTAATCTTGTAAAGTGTGTAAATTTTCTGATGAGCATTTTTGTTCAAGTGAACTAGACAACATTTTTACAAAAGGGGACATAAATGTGCATGATAAAATCTAGATAGTATTTACATAGGACTCTTTCTTTCAGATACAGAAACCGACGACCAACAACTTGAGGAAGTTCCCTTGTATAATGACGTAATGCTTCCCTCATCCAATGAAAAGTTACAGATTATAAGTTTGGTAATGTCTCCATCACCTGCCTCGGAAACTCCAAAGCCACTTCGAAGTAGTGCTGACCCTGCACTCAATCAAGAAGTGGCATTAAAATTGGAGCCAAGTTCAGAGTCCCTAGAACTCTCTTTTACCATGCCCCAGATCCAGGACCAGCCAGCCAGTCCTTCTGATGGCAGCACTAGACAGAGTTCACCAGAGGTAAGGGTCACGATGTAATAAAAGGATAACTTTCAGGTAGTAATGTTCAGGTTTATCAAATTTGCAAATGCAAGGTAAATTTCATTTGAGCCACGTTTCAAAATTACGTTTGTGTAGATTTTAAGTTTTTTAAAGTGATTAAAAAGTTATTATGGGCCTAACTTAAACTCAACATTAATTGTGAATATGAACAAGAATTTGTGAAAATAGATCAAAATATAAAACGTATATTGTTTCTCTATATACTTACATCAGTAGAATAAGGAATTGTTGAATTTTGACATCCACAGAGAACAGTGCTATCTTAATAGCTGATCTTCTTCACCCCCTTAGTTCCATCCTGATGTTGATTGCTTCAGCAGTTCTCAACCTGTGGGTGGCGACCCCTTTGGGGGTCGAACGGCCCTTTCATAGGGATTGCCCAATTCATAACAGTAGCAAAATTAGAGTTATGAAGTAGTAATGAAAATAATGTTATGGTTGGGGGGTGGGTCACCACAACCTGAGGAACTGTATTAAAGGGTCGTGGCCTGAGGAAGGTTGGGAACCACTGCTTTATAAGTCTAATAGTCTTTAAGGGCTAGGCTGAGCTAAGATTAGTGGTGTCACACACAGCTCCATTTCCAAGTCCAGATCATCCAACTTCAGAGATGCCGAAGTTTAAAAATATAACCAGGATTGGGATAACTTAGATCTGAATGTTGTAAATGAGACACAATTGGCCTGACCAAAACCAAAACCACTGCCATCAAGTTGCTTCTGATTCATCTCCCAAAGGGTTAGCTAGTGGATTTGAACCACCAGCTTTTCAGTCTTAGCCCCAATAAGCTTTCCTAAGTGCTGAAATTGTTTTGCATTGAATATGTTGATGAAAACCTCTAACTAGCTAAGAGCAGGGATTTGACAGCTCATAGCCTTCGGGAGAATACATAACCTATGATCTGGTTGCTTAAAAATGCTTAATTCATTTTGTTTTTAATTACAAAAGTAAATCTTACAAAGCTGTTAGATTGGGGAAAGTAAAGTTTTATGCTTAAAATAATAACTTACAGTTTTCAGGGAGTTATAATTCTTACCCAGAACTCCTTTAAGGTAAAAGCAGGTAAAAACACAAGTCTCCACCTGCATGCTCCAGAGTAGCTCTGGGAGACAATAGATGCAATGGATCACCACGTGAGAGTGCCCTGGCACGACAAGAAGATTCCAAATTAGCCGACTGGGTACCATTGTGAGAGTTGAACGGTTAGATTAAGTTGAATTCTTTAGAATGACTTTTATAAATTCTCTTGTGTTGTATACAGTCAGATATATGAAAACTGCCAAAATTTAGTAAGCAGAAAAATGTAACTTCTAATCTTTATTTTTTAAGTTGGGATTTAATACATATATCATTACAAATTTAAATCACGTCAAGCAGTTTGATCGAATTTAATGAGAGAGATTGAGTATGTTGTGTGCTCTGAGATCATATTTGAGAATTCTAACAACTAGCAAAATGTAGACAGATACTTATTCAGGAAAAAGATAAACACATTTAATCATTTTTACAGCCTACCAGTCCCAGTGACTATTGCTTTGATGTGGACAGTGATATGGTCAATGAATTCAAGTTGGAATTGGTAGAGAAACTTTTTGCTGAAGACACAGAGGCAAAGAACCCATTTTCCACTCAGGTATATAAACTTTCTCTATAATTTAAATTTTTAGTCTGAAGTGGCTTTGGGCTTCATTTTTCTTGTACAAGATATGCCCGTTGTTACAACTCATGTGTTTGTTTTTTTAAAGGATACTGATTTAGACTTGGAGATGTTAGCCCCCTATATCCCAATGGACGATGACTTCCAGTTACGTTCATTTGATCAGTTGTCACCATTAGAAAGTTCTGCAAGCCCTCCCAGTGGGGACACAATTACAGTATTCCAGCAGACTCCAACGCAAGCACCTGCTGTTCCAGCCAACGTGACCACTGCCACCTCTGATGAATCACATACAGTGACAAAAGATGGTATGGAAGACATTAAAATATTGATTGCATCTCCATCTCCTGCCCACGTACATAAAGAAACTGCTAGTGCCACAGCATCACCATATGGTGAAACTCAAAGTCGGACAGCCTCACCCAGCAGAACAGGAAAAGAAGTCATTGAGCAGACAGAAAAGTCTCACCCACGAAGCCCTAACCTGTTATCTGTCGCGTTGAGTCAAAGGTATTTATGTGTCATAACGTATAAGTAATAGTTTTTATTATTTTTGAGAAAATGTGTTCCAAATACAACTGGCTCTATGCTTTAAGTAATATAAAATTGATATGCAAATCCTTCACTTAGCACAAGCACTACAAAATGTTCTCCTAAATTAGATTGTGTGTTTTTCTATAGTAATCATAGCACCTATCTAAGTGTAGTAGGGTTTTCTAATACTTTTACAAATAAAATGCAACCAAGTATACAAATAAAATGCAGGCAATAATATATGGCAATTCAGAGAACTTTTCTGTATAATTCCTTTCTGTATACATAAACTAAATAATTTTAAAACATTTTTTTTAAAAACAAAATTAAAAATGGCCAATAAGTCAATTGTTAATAGTCAATATATATATATAAAACATTTGCTGTACTGTAGGATAAATGTATTTTTGAGGGTTACAACATTCATCTTAATTGTAATTGGACTAGATGTATTTTAACTTTTAGGCCATAGCTAGAGGAAACAAGTTTTAGCTGTCAGGAAAGCAAGGAGTAGGAGAGAGAGAGAGACTGCTATAGCCAGAACTTAGGCTTTGTTTTCCTGCCCTGTAGTACCAACTTGACCTAGATAGCGCTAGGTCTTTTTTCTGAGTTAGGAAAAGATTTTGGGGTTTTAAAGGAACTCAGAAGTCTTTTAAAATACTTCTGTAATTACTGTTGCCAACTTCTATGGACTCTGAGCTTTGAGAGAGGAATGACTGTATCTTGGGCATTGTAATAATGCCAGTATCTGAGATCAAGGAGCCCTGCTGATATAGTAAGTTACGCTCTGAACTGCTAGCCCACAAAGTCAGCTGTTCAAATCTACCAGTCTCTCTGAGGGAGAAAGATGAGAATACCTGTTTTTGTAAAGAGTCAAAGCTTCAGAAACCCTCCGGGGCAGTTCTGCTCGGGCCTGTAGGGTTAGAGTTGACTAAGTGACAGTGAGTTTGAGTTTTACTGACCTAGTGTGTATTGCTTGGTTAGTAAGTGGCTGTTGCATGAATAGATGAATGAGTATACAAATATAAATGCAAATAACTTGCAATTTACATATTATTGTTAGCTATGGAGGACTTTAGGATATTCTGTTAATTGAGCAAATGTCCCTTGTACTTTATTCTGGCCCAAACCATTTAACATCTGGTCATCTTAGCAAGTATTGCTTTTCCACGAGTTTCAATTTTATATGTATTATGTATTTTAAGGAATGAACTTCGTTTTCACAAGCTTATGGAGGTTCCCTCCACCTCTGTAGGTACTTATTTGCTAAATCAAAGTATACTGAATTAGGAGATTTGGAGCTCTAGTGCAAAGATTACAGATAAACTACAAAAAGTATTCTACTAAAATAGTAAAATTTAGTTACAGTTCATAATATATTTATATAAGAATTTAATAGTCTGCCTACTTACATAATAGTCTGCCTACTTACATTTTACAGCTTAAAATGTATTTATATACACACAAAACTACATAAGTTTGTGTGATTGAAGTTAGTATGAGTAATCATTTAACCAAATGGTATCTTCAGCTATATAAAATAAGAGAAAAGGGAACCATCATAATGAGGTGTATTGGGGGGTAGGGACTCCTTAGACACTCAAATCGGTAAGTAAATTGATGTATGTTCATAAATTTTAGATCCAGATATTTTGGTTTTGATAACCTGATCAATATGAAGGCAAAATGGTACAGTAGGAAGAACATGGAGTGAGGTGGCTTCAGGAGATCTAGTTCAAGCTTCCATAGCTACAACTTATTCTCATGGGGTTTTGAGCAAGTAAGGAGCCCTGATGATGCTGTTAGGTAAGATTTGAAGTGCTAATCACAAGGTCAGCAGTTCACACTCACCTGCCAGCTCCACAGGAGGAAGTTGAGACTCTGCTCCTGTAAAGCTTGACCGCCTTGCTTGCTGTGAAGCAGAAACTGACTTGATGGCAGCAGGTTTGGGTGGTTTAACCTAACTGTGCTTTGGGTTTCTCATTTATAAAATAGGTGTATGATAATACTTATTTAACTTACCCTTGGGGATTCTGCTGAGTTTAAAATGAATTAATGAACATGAAAGGTTTTATAAACTGAAGATGCAGTATAGATTAATCATCTTCTTTTGTTTCCATAGTCCCAAGGATATTGTCCAACTATTATAGTCATTAATAGGTGGACCCACATGAAAGGCAGATAGATATTCAACTGTTTTGACCTATAAAGATGGCAGTTTAGATCTGTTTAAGTCTTTTATAAAGTTTAGGGAGATACATATTTTATAGGTGATTTTCTGTTTTAAAAGTTAGGATTTTAAAAAAAAGTTAGGGTTTGAATAATGTGAGTATAAGCTTCATTAGTCAAGAAAGTTCTTTCATGCATAACATTCTCATTTAATGTGGAAAACATGGCATTATGCATTTTTCGGTGGATAGGTATAGGTTTGTATTTTTTTAAATTGGAAAACAACCTGTATTTTTATTTAGAATTTCCCTTCTTTTTCTCTCCTAGAACTACTGCTTTCGAAAAAGAATTAAATCCAAAGATACTAGCTTTGCAGAATGCACAGAGAAAACGAAAAATGGAGCACGATGGTTCGCTTTCTCAAGCAGTAGGAATTGTAAGTGAGAGAACGTATTCGTATATTTGCTGTTTTAGCTAGTATTATCTCTGAATTTTATATATGTCTCTATATATTTTAACTGTGTAGACACCACTTTTAAAAAATGTAAACATTAATTAATCAATTTTTGTAAAAATTCCAAATAATACAGATATATTTTACATAAAAGTAGTGAAATTCTCCATTATTCCACTCCCTGCATTACCATTAATCCCATTTTCTCTCTTTAAGTTACTTTCTTCTAGTTACATAATTACTTGTACATTGCGGTAAGTTAGTATTAGTATATTCCAGTCTAAAGTGACATATTTCATTCATACCAACTAGAAAGTGACATTATATGATTAAGAAAAATCATTTATGGCAGTATTTATTTTATTGACTATTACACTACTTTTTAGAAGTCTACATAATGAAATTGAACAACTCTACTCTTTCTAGGGGACATCATTACAGCAGCCTGATGACACTATAACGACCACATCACTTTCTTGGAAACGTGTGAAAGGATGCAAGTCTAGTCAACAGAATGGAATGGAACAAAAGACAATTATTTTAATACCATCTGGTTAGTTTATTTTTTCTGCCCTTGAACCTCACAAGCCCCCACAAAACAAACAAAACTTGTTTCTAGTGAGTCAATTCTGACTCATAAAGAACCCGACAGAGGGTTTCTGAGTTTGTAAGTCTCGACAGGATAAGATAGCCTCGTCTTTCTCTCATGGAGTGGCTGGTGGCTTTGAACCACTGGTCGACCTGGTTGTTAACAGTTCAACACTTCCTAGCAGCACCACCAGGGCTTCGTGGAACTGCTCAACAAACAAATCATTGCCATCAAGTCGATTCTGACTCATAAGGACTCCATAGGACAAAGTAGAACTGCCCTTGTGGGTTTCCTAGGCTATACATTTTAATGGGAGCAGAAGGCCTCATTTTTTCTTTCACAGAGAGCGGCTGGTGGGTTGAACTGCTGACCTATGGTTAACAGTCCAAAGCATACCTCACTATGGCACCTTGGGCTCCTTTGAACCTCACAAAGACAGTTTTTAAATAGTGAGGAATGGCTTTGGTTTCTCGTGGTAGACTTACAAATAAAGTAGCATCTTACCTAATGACAGTCACCCCAAAACAGATATTTTGAAATGGAGTTTTGCTTTTTAGTATTTATCTGCTGTATCTGTGTGTAGCATCAATGTGGAAAAGAGGAGAAAATAAATTTTGATATCTTTGTGCCTCCAGTGTACCCTGACATAGCACCAATAACATTTGATAGCACTTGTTGGCTTATAGAATGGTTTTGCCCATTAGACTGAAAACCCTTCTACAAGTTTATTTGCTTTATTTTCCTACTACATGTTGTTGTCAGGCGCTGTTAAGTGGGTTCTGCCCCATAGCGACCCTATGTACAACAGAAGGAAACACTGCCCCGTTCTGCAAGTGTCCTTATGTTTGAGTCCATCCATGCAGCCACTGTGCCACTCATCTCATTGAGGGCTTTCCTCCTTTTCTCCTGCCCCACTACTTTACCAAGCATGACATCCTTCTGCAGGCACTGGTCTTCTGATAAATGTGCAAAGTATGTGAAACATGGGGAGTGTTTGACGAGTATTAACTAGATTAATGAATAACTCGATCTCTCTTTGTTTTTCAGATTTAGCATGTAGATTGCTGGGGCAGTCACTGGATGAGAGTGGATTACCACAACTGACCAGTTATGATTGTGAAGTTAATGCTCCTGTACAAGGCAGCAGAAACCTACTGCAGGGTGAAGAATTACTCAGAGCTTTGGATCAAGTTAACTGAGCTTTTGCATAATCTCATTCCTTTTTTTGGACACTGGTGGCTCATTACCTAAAGCAGTCTATTTATATTTTCTATATCTAATTTTAGAAGCCTGGCTACAATACTGCACAAACTCAGTTAGTTCAATTTGATCCCCTTTTTACTTAATTTACATCAATGCTCTTTTTTTGGTATGTTCTTTAATGCCAGATCACAGACAAAACATTTTCACAGTTCTTTGGTATTTAAAACATTACATAATAGTAATGTCATTTTTAAAAAGGCACCTTTTTATTTATTTATTTTTGACTAGGGAGCTTGTTCCTTATCAGATTTTTTCCAAGGAGTTGCCAATATAATTTTCTTTAAGAAGGCAAGTAACCTTTCACCATTGTGATAGCAGTTGAAAGATTTTTACTCTTGTGTTTTCTTTTCACATTTCACATAAATAATGCTTTGCCAGCAGTACATGGTAGCCTCAATTGCACAATATATTTTCTTAAAAAATACCAGCAGTTACTCATGCAATATATTCTGCATTTATAAGACTAGTTTTTAAGAAGATTTTTTTTTTCTTTTTGCCTATGACATTGTTAAACCTGGAACATGTCATTGTTGATCATATAATGATGATTCTTAAATACTGTATGGTTTATTATTTAAATGGGTAAAGCCATTTACATGATAAAGAAAGATATGCATATATCTGGAAGGTATGTGACATTTATTTGGATAAAATTCTCAATTCAGAGAAATGATTTATGTTACTATAGTCACTTTGCCAGCTAAAAAAAGAAAACAGTACCCTATCTGTACTTGTGGGAGTTTATGCTAATATTATGTAATTGATATTAAACTTAAATGTTCTGCCCACCCTGTTGGTATAAAGATATTTTGAGCAGATTGTAAACAAGAACAAAAAATCATGCATTGTTAGCAAAATTGCCTAGTATATTAATTTGCTCAAAAATTGATGTTTGGTTTTATGCACTTTGTCGCTATTAACATCTTTCTGTTTTCATGTAGGTTTCAATAAGTAATTTTAGAAGCATTATTTTAGGAATGTGTAGGTGTCGGTCAATACCTTGTTTTCTATGTGCATTGTACAAGTTTTCATTCCTTTTGTTCTTTGTGGTTGGATCTAACACTAGCTGTATTGTTTTGTTACATCAAATAAACATCTGTGGACCAGGCCCCCCTTTCTTTGATCAGCTTTGATATTTAACTATTTGCTGCAACATCTCTAGATTATAGACTTGTTTATCGACAATTTGAGTATTTTGTGACAAATATATTGGTATTGGTTATTTTATGTTTATCTTGCCATGAATTTTCATCCAATAGAGTTACAGTCTTGGAAACCTACCAGGGGGCAGTTCTACTCTGTGCTATAGGGCCACTGTGAGTCAGCATCTACTTGATGGCAGTGAGTTGTTGTATAATCTTTCGAAATACACTATCGATAATAGCAAATCATACTATTCTACAAGAAAGCACGTTTTTAGAAAACAAATGTGATACGCAAAAAACAAAATTTTATTTTTTATATTTTTAGTGGTTTTGTGTTTACTTCCACACGGTGCTAGGTGAGGGCTGCAGGTGTTGCGAAAGCAAGTGTGATCGAATAGTACAGAGGGGATTCTCTCAGCTTTTTTTTGGGTGTTTTAAAATAAAATTTTAGTATTGTGATGTAAATGGGTTGGGTGAAGTAAATTCTGACCCTTATGGTTATAAAATGGAGAGGCTAGAAGTTCCTGTAAAGATTTGAAATTTACTCTCATTCATGGATAAAGAAATTTTGGTTCCAAATGATCAATAATGTGTCCGTCCTTAAAGGTACTAAAGAGCCGAGAAAAAATGTAAACTTGAGTCTTCTGATTTCAAAGGTCAAATAGTAAACTTACCTTGGTATACTTTTTGTTTTAATAATTGTTTTTCTTTAATTTTTAAAAAACTTTACCCTCTCTGTTGTATTTTTTATGAAAAATCTACATTCTTTTCTCATTAAAAAGTTTTTTTAAATCATAGTTTAATAAATTATAAAAAGATACAGAAAATTACTGTGATTCCCTGTACCCTAAAAAAACAGCACTGAAAAATAGACCATTTTAAAGGGTTAAAAATAAAACACCAAGGGGATTTGAATCCACATTTTTCTAAATTAAAAAGTCTGCCTATAGCCCTGGTCATGCAGTGGTTATGTGTTAGGCTACTAACCACAAAGTCGGCAGTTTCAAAGCACCAGCTACTCTATGGGAGAGAGATGAGACTGTCTATTCCTGTAAAGAGTTACAGTCTGGGAAACCCATAGGAACAGTTCTATTCTGTCTAGCAGGGTCGCTATGAGTCAGCATTGCCTCATAGCCTTGAGTTTGGAGTTTGTTGTTATAATCCTGACCACATGCTGTTGTGAGGAACTGTAAGTGGATTCCAGCTCACAGCCACTGAACACAACCAAAATGACACTGTCCAATCCTGTGCTGTCCTCTCAATTGTTGCTATATTGAGCCCTTTCTTTTAGCCATTGTATCAATCCATACCATTGAGTAAGTGTATCTCCCCCCGCCCCCCATCCTCTATCACATACCATGTCCTTTTTCAGGATCTGATCCTTTCTGATAACACATCCAAAGTATATAAGAAGACTGTCTCTATCGCTTCTTCCAACTCGGGTTTATTTGTTCTTCTGACAGTTCACGGTATATTGGAAATTCTCTGCAACATCATATTTCAGACACATCAGTTAATCACTCTGCATTCTTTGTCCAGCTTTCCCATGCATAAAACATCAAATTATTTTCATGGAAAAATTATGTAGGCAATGCCAGAACCTTGGATCTTACAGGCTGAGTGAGTAACCTGAAGAAAATGAACCAAAACCACAGACCCCTGTGACTATATCGAATGAAAACGTGATTACTACAACATGAAAATTTTGACACAAAAGTGCTTCGATCCTAATTACAATATACGAGAGGAGGTCACAAGGATAATCAAAACAAACCTACTGCCATCAAGCCCGTTCCTCCAGGGTAGCCTGCCCCTGTGGGTTTCTGAGGCTGTCCATCTTTACGGAGCAGAAAGCCCATCTTTCTCCGGCAGAGTCCACGGTGCTTCCCAGTTGCTGGCCTCAGGGTTCGCAGCCCAGTGTAGAACCAGCCCATGGTGCCATCAAAGCTCCTTTGTAAGGATAAAGGATTCACTTCAGCCCAGGTCCAAACATTTTAAATTCTGCCTACCTTCTATGCAACTTAGCTTCACTTGGCACAAACACAACGGCAGTTGCGACTAAGTTGATTCTGGCACCTGGCAACTGCATGTTTATCGTGGGAGAAATAGGCTCCATCGGGTTTACCACGAATTTCTCAGAGGTAGGTCATCAGGCACCTCAAGTGGATTCAAATGGCCAGTTTTTGCGATTGTGCTCCCTAAGGGCTCCTCAACTGGAAAGTAGATGTTTTATGTGTAGTTTTCAAATATTAGTAAATTATCAGATTATGGAACAGCCTGGAATTTGGGAAAACGAGTTGCAAGCAGTGATTAGAAGGAAAAGCCACATGAAAAGGGCAATCCAACTGAAAGAGAAGCTCTTGCTCTCAGTCTCTCAGAAAGCAAGCCACTGGGAGTACTTTGAACTCTTCGAGATAGAAACCAACCTTTCCTGGCATTGTGCTCTCTGACCCTATCGCACACCAACACAATACTGCGGAACCAATTGTGATTCACTGCAATCCTCAGAAAAATAGCTTCCCCAAATACCACACCCACTGTCATGGAGGCCGTTTTAACCACAGCCTTTCTACAGGGCAGAATAGCCCATGTGGGTTTTCAAGGCTTAAATATGGATGGATTGTGATAAGAGCTATATGAACCCCCCAGTAAAATGATTTTCTTTAATCTCCGGCGGGGAGAAAGCCTCATCTTACCAGGAGTAGCTGGTGGTTTTGAAAAGCTGACATTGTGGTTAGCAACCCCCAAAATCATGCCTTTATCAAGGGTTTTAACTCTTAGTTTTTTCCCTCATTAGTCTTGCATCCCCATGCATGTCTATACTTTCTCCTTTTTCTGGTGTTGCCATGATTGGACTATAGTGCTTTCCACACTTGGAGAAAGAATGGCAAAGATGCCTATTGTATTTGTTCCTTTGTTCTAAGCACCGAGTTACCCAGAGGGTCCAGCACATTCCTAGGTATAGTGGCTCACAGGTTAGAAGACTAACCCCTATGCCAGCGGTTCTCAACCTTATGGGTCACGACCCCTTTGGGGGTCAAACAACCCTTTCACAGGGGTGGCCCGATTGTAGCATAACTGTAGCAAAATTACAGTTATGAAGTAGCAATGAAAACAATGTTATGCTTGGGGGATCACCACAACATGAGGAATTAAAGGGTCTTGGCATTAGGAAGGTTGAGAACCACTGCTCTATGCTACCTCAGCCTCTTCAAAAAATTTTGTATCTCATTTTCCAGACTAGAAAAATCTTGGGAGAGATGGCAGAGCCTTTAAGCTGGCAGCCTGGCTCTAACCACCCTGCAGTGCTTGCCAATTCTGTGGAATATAACCCTTTCCTCCAAAAACCTGCTGTCTGGTCAGTTCCATCTCAGCAACCCTCCAAGACAGAGCTGTCCTATCGGATTTCCAAAGCTGTAAATCTTCACAAAAGCAGGACTTCACCTTTTTTCTCTCACGGGCTGGCTGCAGGTTTTGAACCACTGACTTTTCAGTTAGAGTGTAACCACTGTCCAACTATTCAAATAGCAAATAGGAGAAAACACTTAAAGGTAATGAGGAGGGTACACCTTAGGAATAAAGAGGATATCTTAAAGGAGTGCCAGGACAAGCATAGAAATTAATAAGGGTGTTGAAATGCTAGTTAGTGGTTTTGAGTTTGACCGGCAGATCAAACTCAGGTGCCGGGATGGGTATGATTCTTCTGCCACTATTTGAACAGCATAACAAACAGGCTTATTTTTAAGTCCATAAAACAATTACCCTTTCAAATGAAGGTTATTGGATTTGCAGAAATATAAGCATTCTAAAGTTCAAATGTTTAACAGCAATGTCAAAAACAATTGGCAAAGAATACAGGTAGGTTTTGTTTTTTTTTTTTTTTTCATTTAACGGGGCTTGGTTAAATAAAAACCTTTGCATACATGTTGCTAGTTGGAACTACAATGTAGCCTCAAAAACCAAACCAAACTTTTCCCTGGTGTTTAAGAACACAATAGCAGCAAACCTGTTGCCTGATCATTTTACTGAGAACGAATACAGCCTGCAGATTTTTATATGAAATCATCTCCTTCAAAAATAAAAACTTCACCTTACCACAGCCCGTTTTGTGGGATGCCTTCTGGGGATTGGTTGTGTACACGCCTTTCAGAGGTCTGGACATAATTTTTATTCTTACCTGAAAGCGGAAGGTCTTATCCAAGAACTGCCCAGACACCGATCTCTTGCGCCCTTTATTTTCTTTTATTCCCTTGTTTTGGATCCGATGGAGCGCAGAGAGGAAAGTCCGGTGTCTGAGAGGGACCAGATAGACCCTCAGCAGGGAAAATACCACGGTTTCGGAAAGACCGGGCACCCCTGCTATTTCTTAATGCCGCTGGTGCTACATAATAAGGATGCTAAACCCAAGCCCTCCCGGAAACTTCCTGCAGCCCCGCCCAGCGCGCTGCAAACCACGCCCCGGTACGTGCTGTGTCTCAGCGCCGCAGCCCTGGCCCTGTGTTGGGGACCCGCGCAGAGCAGCGCGGGGCTCCGCAGGCGGCGACTCCGGGGCTCCTGCGCCTACGTGTGAGAGCGCACGTGGGAGCCGCTGGCCAGCCCTGCCCTTTGGATGGCGCAGGGCGAGGGCCCTGCTCTGCCCTTTGTCTTCGCTGAGTGGTCAACGCCTAATGCTGACCTCTAACTCAGACGTTGGGTGCTGGCAGGGAGGTTGGGGCCCACTGTGTAGCTGTGAAGCTCTCTCCAGGACTCCCCAGAAAAAAGTACCAAGGGGTGCAGCCCGGCGTCATTTATAGCATAGAATGGCTGAGGTCCCCTAGCAACTTGGAGCGTGGTTAATATTAACTATACTGTTTTTAAAGAGTGGGTATCTACTACTATGGTAAAAAAATAATAAAATAGTAAAGTTATTTGTGTCCCCAAAGGCACTCCAAGACTTAGTTTACTGGAGATGAAGCTCTTCCAAAGGAGGCCCGCTGGCGCAGTGGCTCAGCACTGGGCAAATAGGCTGCTACTGAGAGTCCAGCCTTTGGAAAGTCTGTTCTGGAGGAAGACATGGCTTCTGTCGGAATTACAGCCTGGGAAACGCCGGGACTTAGGGTTTTAAAGCACTTCCAGACGTGCCTCATTAAGTAAAGCAAAGCTTTAACTGCTTTCAGTGGGGTGTTTGTGTGGAGCGGGGAAGATGGGGTCGTTTTTTGATTCTTTGCTTGTTTTTGGACTATGCTATGTGCCTGCATTTTATCCATGCTAGCGACTGAGAATCATTTAAAATAATTTTTACCAATAATTTGTAGCCCAGATCATCATGTATGTTTTATGAAAATGGTCCTATTTGAGGAGAATACTGCATTTCTTTTGGTCTCAGATGCGGAAGTCACAGGGGGAGCATGCGTGGTTCACTGGCTGTGTGGTGTATGGTTTATCCCTAAGGAGCATGCACTCTAAATTAAAGTTGAGCGTGTCTATAGCCTGATATGAAAACTGCAATTTTGAGACCTCAAATAGATTTCTGTGAAATATTAAAATTAGGAAATACTTTAGGTGAAGATTCTTCCCAGAGACTTCGAGATAACATTGTCTGCTCTTTTAAATGGACTTTAGGAATGAACATAAAAGGATTCCACGCACGACTGCAATCACAAGTCTTTCGCAAACCGTGGGATAAACCATCGCAGATGTTCCTGACCTTGCAGTCTGCTTGTAGAACATTTTCATTAAAAACAGAAAACAAAACCAACCAAAACGAGCTACTTGGTCTTTGGGTGTGGCGGATTTAATTCTGACCCCAGGTAGCAGTAGAACTGCCCCCACCGAGTGCTTGCTCTTGGCAAAGGTTTGGGAAGCAGATCAGTAGGTCTTTCCTGCCGTGGAGCTTCCAGATGGCTTTGAACGCCCTACCTTGTTAGTCAGCAGCTGCGCTCTTAACCATGCCCCCACCTAGGCTCTTAGTGAGCTTCCACCGCCACACGTGGACATTCTCAAGACTCCGTGACATGGAGTCCATTCTGACTTTTCTTTTCTGCCACTGTAAACTTTTTATTAGTCTTTTGAAAACAGGAATCTATTTTCCAGGAAGGAAGGACCCCATCATACATCTGCTGGAACCAGCCTAACGGCCTCCTCTTTGCCCATTGTTGGCCCCGAGGCAGCCTATTGTTTCTTGCCGGCCATGCTGCGGCCTGGCCTCCCAGCACCGTGGAGAAGCCGGGGCCGTAGATACCGAGGCTCGGGACCTTTTTGATCCCTGGATCCCAGGTCCAAAGATTCCAGTATCAGAGACGTTATTTTTCCGTAACTCGGACTCCTGCACCTTTAGACCTTTCTCCAAGACGTCCTCTGCCTCGGCTCCGTGGATGGCAAGTTTTTCATTTCTCCTTGATGCCAACGGATCTGACGGTGTCCCTGGCTTTGGGGAGGTCGGGGCTCTGGCCCGTGGGCTGCGGCAGCACCTCGGCTGCCCGGGTCACTCTGTCTCCACTCTGCGCAGCGCACCTGTGGAGGCAGAGCTTGCGGAGGCGGGGCTCCCGCATCCGGTTCTCTTTCACCTTGACCCTACACCATGATGGAGACCAGGCAGCGAGGTGACAAACTTTTCATGAAAAGTTCTGGGAAAGTCTCATCTTTCCCAGAGTGACCGGTGATTTTGAACCGCTGACTTTGCGGTTAGGAGCCCAAATGCACTGGCCACTCTGCCCTCGGAGCTCTTCCTGCAGCAGAGGGGAGAGCAGCAGCCGGTGCCCGCCTCAATCTCCACTGCAGACCTAATGGAGAAACGGGGGCATTCACACAGGGGGAATATTAGGGGAAAGTGAAAATGAATTAGTTATGAGTAATGGCAAGGAAGAATCCTCGAAACAAAATTAAGAGGGGAAAGCAAGTTTTTTAAAAATTCATATTAATTATTTTATTTTCATAAAACTCGAAAATGCCTACAACTAAATAATGCAAGGGGATTTCAAAAAGTCTGTAGAAAAAACTCCATTATCTTTCATTCCATTTTCCATGCATTTTTGAAGCCCCTTTTATACTGCCTAGAGTACATATGAAGTGGTAAAGTACCATGTGCAAAATTACAAATTACAAATCTGAAACAAAATTCCAAGTAGCTGTTACAAGGTACTGGTAGAGGCAGAGGAACGTGAGAGGGGGAGGTCACAGGCTGAGGAGGCCAATCTTGGTCATGTTCTCCTTTCTACACAGGGAGTTGGCACACTGACGTTCACTTTACTGGTATGCGTCTTTGCTCAGACATGGTCTATAAGTTCTTCTGTATCTAGATATTACTTTACAAGTTAAAAGCACATCAAAGTTTAAGAACTATGAATCAAAGCTGCATCCACTGACAGACAGCCCCCAAATGTGTTCTGTTACGTTAGGGTAAATCTGCTGTACATGACTCCTACCCCTTTAAAATGTTGAAAAGCAAGAATGCTAGTTTGAGGACAAAGGTGCACCAGATCCAAGCCATGGTGTTTTCATTCAATCACCTCATATGTATGTGATCGTCGGACATTGAATAAGAAAGACCAACGAAGAATCTGCATTTGCACAACGATGCTGGCAAAGAATCTTGAAAGCACCACAGACTGCCGAAAGGACAGACAAATCTGTCTTGGAAGAAGTACAGCCAGAATGCTCCTGAGAGCAGTGGTTCTCAACCTTCCTAATGTCGTGACCCTTTAAAACAGTTCCTCATGTTGTGGTGACCCCCCAACTATAAAATTATTTTCGTTGCTACTTCGTAACTGTAATTTTGCTACTGTTAGGAATCACGACCAAAGGGGTGGCGACCCACAGGTTGAGAACCACTGCCTTAGAGGCAATGGTCACACTTTGCCTTAGTACTTGGGACATGATGTCAGGAGAGACCAGGCCCTGGAGAATGACATCATGCTTGTGGGAGCAAAAAAGAGAAAGACCCCCAGGAGGTGGCTTGACACGGTCTGCAGCGAATGAGAACAATCGTGAGGATGGCCCAGGCCCAGACAGTGTTTCCTTTTGTTGCACATTGGGTCACTACGAGCCAGAACCAACTCAACGGCATCCAGCAACCTCTCTGCAAGAATAAAGAGTTCACCTTGTATCAGAGAAGTGGTGACAGTACAAAGCAGTACTCCAAAACTAGGTCCTGGGAGCAGCTTAGAGATGGCGTGTAAACAGAAAGCCAATTTGTCTTGAATAATCAATAGGTATCGAGTAGATATTTTCCACAAAGTACTGTACTAGATCATTGTGTAAGGGTGCGTGTGTGGTGGGCAGATGTCTACAGAGGGTAAGGAATACAGTTCCACTTCTCAAGGACTTTTTCAGAGGACTGCAAGAGTCACACATTAAGTACCATAGACTACATGGTGGCTGGAGGGTGGGGGGCAGGGGGGTGGGGATTGGAGACCTGGAAAGGTCTAGTCCCTTTCCTACACTGGCCAGTTCTTAAAAGATTCTCTTAATCTCCTTGATTGGGTAAGTTGGTGGGCTGCAATTCGGATAGTTCTTTAAAAGTTGACGTGTCACTTAAGGGTCACGTTAAAGGAGAGTGAGGGTAATATTAGGTGCCATCAAGTCGGCTCCAGCCTATAGTGACCCTAGGCCTAGGCACAACAGAATGAAACACCGCACTGGCCTGCCCCATCCTCACAATGTTCCTATGCCCAAGCCCATGATTGCAGCCAGTGTCAATTCATCTCCTTTGCTGCCTTTGCCCAGGGACTGGCCTCTCCTGACCACATGTCGAAAGTATGTCGGATGAAGTCCTGCTATCTTTGCCTCTAAGGAGCAGAATCTCTGGCCTTACTGCTAAAACAGATTGGTTTGTCGTTTGAGCAGTCCATGGTACTTTCAACATTCTTTTCTAGCATGGATTCTTCTTCGGTCTTCAGAGTATTGAAGAGTAAGGATGTTATTCTGAGGATGAAGGTACGCCTGACTCAAGCCATGGTGTTCTCCGTTGCCTTAGCTGGATATGAGGGTTGGCCATTGAACTGGGAACACCAAAAAGGGGAGAGTAGAAGTGGCGTTAATTTACATAAAACAGCTGGGAGGAAGGGGGAATGAAGCCCTGAAAACAACAACAAAAACCCACCCCCAATTTCCTGGATCTCGCGAGATTCATTACAAGTAAACTAAGTGAAATTAGAACTGCCTTTATTCTGCAAAATGTAAAGATAAGAGTCAAGCAGGTAAATCAACTACTCGCACGCAAGCGCGCCAGCCGCACGCACGCGCAGTAAGCGCGGTACCGGCTAACGCTAGCCTGTCTTTGAGCGGAGCCGCTCCGGGTTGGCTCACACGCCCGAGAGCGCGAGTGCGTCACGACGTAGGGGCGGGGCTCCGGGCCCGGTTTCCTGAGCAACGCTGCGGAGCTCCGCGCGCGCGGAGCTGGTGGGCCCGAAACATGGGGGCTCCTGCGGGCCTGCAAACCGACTGCGAAGCGCTGCTCGGCCGCTTCCAGGAGACTGACAGCGTGCGCTTCGAGGACTTCACCGAGCTCTGGAGGAGCATGAAGTTCGGCACCATTTTCTGGTGGGTGCTCCTCGCCGTCACGTCTCTCCTCGCCCCGGCGCGGAGTTGGGCCCCCGCGTCTGCATTGGCCCGAGATGAGAGCCTGCCTGTCCACTGCCCATCTCTCCTGGGCCAGCCTTTCTCGCTCTCTCAGGGCGGTTTCATGGGGTTTCCGCTGCTTTCTTTTGGGCCCGCCCCCTGGGGGGCCATCTGTGTTCTCCCCATCTCCACTGCCGCCCTCTTGTCCCAGGCCAGCATCACTTTCATCTCCGTTAGTCTCGTGCCCTAGAACTTCATGCTTATAAACAAAACAACAAAACTTGCGCAGGCAAACAGAAACTCTGTAGATGGGTCTCACTGGATGACACAGCGGTCGAAGGTACCTTTGACCATGCCACTCCGCTGCCCATCACCTTCAGTGTTCCTATTGCCTTTGGGATTGTCACTCAACTTCCCTAACCTTCCTGTGGGCTTCTGCCCCCGTCCTGGAATCATCTGCCATTACCCCCCC